CCTTATGGGAGAAGTCAGATGATTTATCAGAGCCTGAGAAAGTTCCTTCTTTGTTCCAGCTGTGTGTTGCATCACTGCGAGGACGAGGCTGTTTTTCAGCACAGCTGTGTTGCACGATTGTTTCACAAGCACAGGTTTACATTGTTCATCTCGTTAGGAAATGGGCATGTAGATTTGTGAGTTTGTTGCTTTCTTTTACCACTGATAAGCTAATAAGTTTCTCCTTTTTTTCTTTTGCCTACAGATAGCCTGTCCTCCCTGATCTGCTGCAGAAAGTGTGAGCAGGAACAGAGTGGCTGCCGTTTGCTTTTCAGTGTTGCCTAGCAAGCTTTAGCCGCCATGGCTGTGTCATTTAAGAAGGACCTTAACAAGTACAAGGATATCGATGAAGATGAAATCCTCAGCAAGCTGTCGGAAGAGGAGCTCAAGCAGCTGGAGACGGTCCTCGAGGAGGTGGATCCTGAGGTCAGGGCCCCGTGAGGGCAGGGGGGGCTCTTCAGTGGGAAAGGGGTGTCTGTGGGACAGGAATTGATTAAAATGACAGATTTATTTATTTTCCAAAGTAGAGAGTCCTTTTTCAAGTTATTGTCATTTCTTGTTGATTCTCCTTAAATGCCTTTGAACATGAATCACTAACTTTTCTGCCCAGATCCCAAAAATAACAGTATAACACAGCATACCTATGTATTTCAGTAAACATTTATGTCCCAGCTTTAAAATCACACTTTCCCACATTTTTGGGTTATTTCTTTTCTTTGTAGACCCATACTCCTCTCTAAAGCTTTTGTGACGAAAAGAAAAAAAAAATCTGCAGCACCCTTATCTAAGATGTTGTAGTAGTTTACGAAATATTACTAAAGAGATAACAAAATGGCTCTACAGCAGAATAATGCTTTATTTAAAGCTTTCATCTCATGAGGACAAATGGCTGAGTGCTTCCTGTTGGTCTAGTTAAACGGGGGTGGGGGGTAGCTCCTTACTCTCTTGCATTTAAGGAAATAGTAAAATAGTATTTTATAGTAAAGGAAGCATTGTATTTAATTTGATGCTAACAGGCTTGACAAACGTTTTACATGCATTCTTCTTCAGAGTTTCTATTTTTTATTCCTATGAATCTTATCTAAGCCTTTCTGTTCCCGGTGAACTGGTTTACGGCTCCATTTTTCGAGGAGCTTGTCGTCTAATTGCTATTTATAAACTCACATTTTAACATTCGCTCATAGCCTCTGGCAGGAATTTGCTAAAGGAAATTGTATTTGGTTGCATATTATACTGGGATTCCTCTCCTGTATTATCAAAAATAGTGATATATTTTCAAAGGGCTGTTACTGTTGTAATGGAGAATCCTTTCAATATATTTCTAGAACAGTCCTAAAGAAACTTAATACAGAAAATTGTATTGTAAAACCATCCATCTCTTTGTTTTTCTTTGTATAAGTGAGTTTTTCTCCCTTATATGCAAGAATAAAATGTTTTTTTTAGAAACAATAAGAAGTATAAACATGATCAAGGCACGTGGCATCAATGCTCCCTTTGTCCTCCTCTGCAGAACGCTCTTCTTCCAGCCGGTTTACGGCAAAAAGATCAGACCAATAAGACGGCAACTGGAACCTTCGACAGGGAGCGGCTGCTCAAATACCTGGAGAAGGAAGCCATGGAGTACAAGGACAGAGATGATATTGTGCCCTTCACTGGGGAGAGAAAAGGTGCGTGTCAGAGTTGTATTTAAGGCTCTCCTATAAGTTTTACTTGATTTTGTTCTAAATTGTTAAAAAATGCTGTAAATCTGTTTCCTTTTTTTACAAGAAAAGAAAAGTAAAACAGATTTTGTTAGATGGGATTGAACTTCTAACTCCAAAGTTTTTAGACCGTATATGTGCACGTTTCAAGAGTTGAAAAATATAAATCTAACCAATCGAAACATATCAACAGATCAGTGCATCATTTCCACGCTGGTGGTATAAAAACTCAAGTCTGCTGTTGTACCCCAAACACTGGTTTCAGCTCATCCATTAAAGTAAATTAGATAAGCCGTATCACAAACATTGGATGCTGGTCATTGATAAATAATTTATGACAAAAAGTTACTAGATTTTTAACTTGGGAGATTTTTTTCACAACTGTTTGGTAATGTTATAGAGAAACTTAATAAGATATATGTTGTTTTAATGGCATAGTCCAAACAGTCACTGTTGTTTTTCTCAGGTTCAGTTTTTCCTCTTGTCTAAACTCAGAGTTGGTTTGTTTTTATTGACTAAAAGATCAAGTGTTTATACTAAAGCTAAATCTGTAAGGATTTACCTAGAAGCAGATCTTGTGGAACTCGATTCATACATTTTTAAAAGTTTTTGTTTTTTGTTAATATATTTTGAGCCATGATGTCATCTTTTTGATAATGAAGTAGTAACTAGATGTTAACACAACAAAAGTTTGCAACAATGATGCTTTAGAGATTTTTGTGCCTTCTTTTGAATAAATACACCTGAGGAAGAAGAGGTTAGTCGCTGTCTGATGCTAATAACCATCATTTAAAACCAACACAGCAGTAATTATAGCTCCACCGTTCTTTTGCACGTACTATTAATGCATGTTTGCTCCTATATATTATAAGGTTATGGGACTCAGATGAACCACGTTTAACATGTTTTTTAATACTGGTAGCCAGTAAGTGTTTGTCAAAAGTCACACTGCTACTTTATTTTATTGTTTTAGACAAATTCAGGAGAAAAAAACTGACTGAAAGCGTTTTAGCAGCCCGACTGTATTTGTTTTACTGTATTTTATGCCATTCAGCTTCATTTCTATGGTTGTACGGTTTGGCAGCTGAAAGATATCCTTGATGGGATGCCAGCAATGATTGCAGTTCAGGGGAAATAGCCTGTTTTTCTCTTGTCTTTTATAATGAGTTCACTACAGGGAAAAATTCAGCAATATAATACTGGCTGTTAAGTTAGTTTTAAATTAGAGCTGCACTAAATGCTGAATCAGAGTTCTCAGAGTGGGACATCAGAGGGACTAGTTTTAAATTAGAGCTGCACTAAATGCTGAATCAGAGTTCTCAGAGTGGGACATCAGAGGGACCGTTTGGACTAAATTTGACTGGGATTTAACCTCCCTTCATGTCTATACTAATTGCAGTTCCTTAATGTTCGACATGCTATAGCTAATAGAGAAATGTGGAAACATGCATAAAAAGCCTGTAAAATTAGAGCTACTTTTAAACCATTTATTTATTTACCAACTTTTTATTCCTTCGGTATGTACGGGAAATATCGATGTTTTGGTGGCACATTTATCTGGATAGTTTTATGTTTGTGTGCAAAGCTGTAATTCTAGGAGGCCTGTCTTATAAATGAGCTATGTCAGCTAATACAGTGTGTAATATCAGATATAAAAAGCATTGCAGTTCTTCCCGTCAGTTCTGAAGCTTGTTGGGAAAAGCACAAAGGTGAAACACAATGGATGCTGTAATAAAATGCATTCTACGTGACGCATGCAAAGGCTTAAGTTTCCATCAAAATCTGTTAATGTCAACTATTTTTGGAAGGGGTTTCATCTTTTCCCTCAGAAGCAGTTTCTTAAATCAAGTATTTATGCCTATTTGAATTAAAGTAAATCCTAAAAGGTTTTCAGTGTTCTTATTTTTGGTTTACTCATAACCAATTAAACAAAACTTAGCTGTTGGGGGAAAAAATGACTTAAAGAAATGTCCAGTAAAGCGATTTGTATGGAAACGGGAAGCTATTTACAAGCTGAAATCATTCCAACTATTTATGTTTTATCATAATTTTTATAAGCTGTGTCGTATTCTATCAGTCTTTAATAAAACAGGAATCTAGTGCTGCAACTAACGGTTATTTTGCTAATTGATTAATCTGCTGATTATTTCTTTAGATTAATAATCTGATAGCAAAAGCTTCCTTAGAGAAGATTTTTTATAAAAAAAAAACAAAAAAAAAACGTTTCCACTCGTGGAGTTCTGGATAGAGCTTATTGACAGACAAAATTTTTTTTTAATCTTAAATGCAAAAAAGTTATATACATTTATTTTTTTTTACAATTTTGGTATAAATACTGCTCTAAGTATGTTGCTCTGTTGGCTACAGTCATGTTTTAGAGTCTCTATACTCCAGTAAATGATTAGTTACTATTATTAGTAATGATTAATCTGATTAATTGTTTTAGCCCAACAGGAATCCCCAGCCCACTGGGTGATTTGTGACTTTTGTCTCATGAGATTTAATAGGTTTAGGAAGGATGTTTCTCTAGCTGCAGAACCAGATTAACTGCTGTAAAAACTGAAAGTACAGCCTAATTCTTTCAAAACATCTTATGGGATTTATGGTCATTTAACCACTTTTTAGATGCCTTCTATACAATGACAAACAAATACAAAGAAAACTACAGGAGTAACAATGCTTTATGGAAAGTCTCCTACACTTTCAACAGATTCAAATCTACCCTCTCTGCAGAGGAAACATGGAGCTGACATATTTCCCTGATATAACCACAGAGAGTCAGGAAATAAACTTTCTTTTTGCATGTGTGCAATTGCTCCATATGACAGCATGGAAAGCTAAGATCATTGTTGGCTGGTGGTTCTGTGGAATGCAGTGAGTTCCCTCCCCCTTGTTAAATTCACCCCCTGCTGATATTAAATGTGATTTTGAGGGTCTGAAAGCTCAAGATTTAATAAGGTGAATAATGTGGGTGGAAAACAGCTAAATTCACATACCATAGAAACTACATCAGGTCTTAATTACTTGATTCCAATGTGCTTCTATGTGCTTATTATTTGTTCTTTCAGTTGCTTTAGAGTTTATTCAAGGCGTCTTGGCCTCATTAACTCATGCTGTGGTCAGTGAAGCTGAGAATCTGTGTTAAAATAAAACAGAGGTTTTATATCTAGATATTGTGGAAATGTGTTTCTTTTTTATATATTATATGGAGTCAATAAATAGCATTTTAGCCAAAACACAACTCAGTTAATCTCTCTTAGATACAACCATCTTATGTATTTAGCTACAAGGAATGCTAACCTGTGCAGAAATGCCTAATTATGCATTTTTAAGCTCTATAAAAGCAGCAACACTATTCTGTGCATCGTGAAGTTCAGGTTTGTGTTTGTGTTAGCAAAGAAAAAACTGTAAAGCTTTAAGTCTGTTTTACAGAGGAGTCTCTTTATCTTTTGTTGGGGATCTCAGAACCAGAAGGATAAATATTGTTTTACAGTTGATCCTAAAACAGCCGAGCAAAGCAGAAATGACTGTATATAAGGGGATTACAATCTAGTGGATCCATAGTTTGTTTTCCTGTTCCTTCAGCCTTCAGGCGGTACTCTTCTGGTCCAGTTATGTGATATTCTTATTATCCATTTAGCTATGGATTGTAATGATCACACAGATTGGGAATAGTTAAGTTGATGGCTGTCTTTTGTCCCCTTCTCTGGGTTAAATGCTGCCACAGAGGGATTGGCTCTCATTGCTGCCTAATGACTGTATTTACTGTTTACTTGCTTTCAGGAAGTGCCAGAGCCCCCACAGGGGAGCAGTTTAAACAGTGTGTGTGACTCGAATGACTTTGAAGGAAGAGAAAGACTGAGGGCCCGTTGTTGGAGCTGTTTTGTCAAAGGGAGCTGGCATATGGAGAGAGAGCAGGGAGCTCTCTGTCAGCCTTACATGCTTGTTGCCTCAGCAGTGCACTTTAGATTAGACTCCAGCTTTTGTTGCATGACTTCCTTTGCCGTGTTGGTGTCTTTCCTCAGATAGGTTGCCAAGGAAGTACAGTCAGAAAGTTATGGCTCCGTTGCACATAGCTTAGTTTGGCTCACCTGTTGTTTGTTGGATGTTATGTGAAAATTTATGCTTTTTAGGGGAATGCCTTTTCTTTACCTGGCAGTAATTAGATTTCTTAAAGCTGCTCTTATAAGTAAATAATACAGAAAATAATAAAGTATAGTCATTTTCTTTTTTTTACTCTGTTGATGAAACTGGGAAGTGGTAGCCAGATTCATATGTATGGCTATGTTAGCATAATTTTGTAGCTTTAAAGTAGCTTTTTAAAGGAATAGTACACCCAAAACATGATTAGCCTTCATTTTCTACTCACCCCCATGCTGAACAACACTCTGGAGTACTTTTTTGATATCTCAAATGCATCTGGAGATCTGGGAGGCTTCTTGCTGTCTGCTGACATTCAAATAATGGAGGTCTATGGTGCCCGAGACAGAAAGGTCCATAAAAGTCCACAAAAAACGTGTCAATATTCCTCCATACTGCTCGTCCAATGTATTCCAAGTGTCCTGAGTGGGTAGCATCCAGAATTTACTCGAAACGAAGTCATTTAGAATGTTTTTAGAGAATAAACAGTGGTGTATAGGATTTCCTGAAAGCGCGCACCTGCGAGTTCACGACTCTACGGAAGCCGGCAGACCAAACCAGATGAAAGTGCGCATTCAGCGTCTGCTCTGCCGATAATGCAAGCGTAGAAGAAGAAATGTGCTGTTTACCTGTGCAAAGAAAGAAACAACGAAAGAAAAATGTCTGAGGACTTCAGTGTTGAGGAAGAGCATGAGTTCTTTGCCGAGCTGAATGCGCACTTTCATCTGGTTTGGTCTGCCGCGGTTTCCGTAGCGTCGTGAACTTGCAGGCGTGCGCTTTCAGGAAATCCTATACACTACTGTTTATGCTCTAAAAACATTCTAAATGACTTCGTTTCCAGTAAATTCTGGATGCTACCCACTCAGGACACTTGGAATACATTGGACGAGCAGTATGGAGGAATATTGACACGTTTTTTGTGGACTTTTATGGACCTGTCTGTCTCGGGCACAATAGACCTCCATTATTTGAATGTCAGCAGACAGCAAGAAGCCTCCCAGATCTCCAGATGCATTTGAGATATCAAAAAAGTACTCCAGAGTGTTGTTCAGCATGGGGGTGAGTAGAAAATGAAGGCTAATCATGTTTTGGGTGTACTATTCCTTTAAGCCCTGAATGCTAGCCTAGTAAACTAGCCCCAACAGCCAGCGGCCCTAGAACTGGTGGGCCAATCACAATGCAGAGTTGTGTTTTGGATTTCTGGATGCAAAACAGACGGGGTTTCGAGGGCAGGAGGATAAAGCTGCATAACGCTGGAGAAAGCACAACAAGGAAGATGGCAACAACTATTGAACAGTTCTCGTTTGACTCAGCTTTGGAATCGGTTATGGAAGGATTAGACTTGGGGTTTCCCTTTTCATTTTACCGAGAGGCTGTTTGTTTACACTCCCCCACCAGCTTTCTGTCACGCATACTACGTCACAGTCAGTTGCGCTCATTGGACACAGTGTTGGCCAATAGGCACAGACAGCGGTTTGAAAAACGAGTTGTTCTCATCAACCATCTTCCGATGTCTCATTCTTGTTATACTTGTTAGTTTATAAATCACTGAATGGCTTAGCTCCAAAATACATCAGGCTTGTTGACACTTGATCAACCACCTGGACTTCTCAGGTCTCAAATCTACTGAATATTTAGAACCAGAACCAAAGAAGGAGAAGCAGCATTCAGTTCTTACCCTCCATTAATCTAGAATAAACTCCCAGAAAATTGTAAAAGTGCTGAAACCCCCAGTTGCTTTAGATGGAGTTTAAAAACATATTATTTTAGAGAGGCCTTTGGCTGTGCTATCTAAACCTTTTTTTTTTTTTGTTAATTTGAATGATTTGCTTGTATTCTCTTTATTTTGTGTTGCCTCTATCCTACTTTTTGTTTGTTTTTGTTTTTCATCATGCACAGCTCTTTGAATCACTGAAATGTGCTTTATAAATAAACTTGCCTTTCCTTTTTTTTTTTTTTTTATAGGTAAAGCTTTTATCCCGAAGCAGAAACCAAAAGAATCCTTCCAGGAAGTAGCCACGACCCTTGACCCAGAATTAGAAGAGGCGCTGTCCAGTGCCACAGATACAGAATTGTGTGACCTAGCAGGTAGGAAAACATTTCAACTAAGCATCATCTTATAGTGCTTTAAATCAGTATAACATTTGATGCTGTCACCTGACAACCACAGACGTTTATGTTTTTGGGTTTATTGAGTTTGATATGAAAGTTCAACACAAAGTTAAGGAAGGAAAATAATACATGATAATAAGTAATTATTTTAAAACAAAGAAATCTGATTTTATAATGCTTACAAAAACAACAGTCAATTTTAGTAATGCAGTTTTAAGCATTTTTATAGGTGCTCCATGAGGGCCTAAGAGGTCTGTTATAAAACATTAGCTAACAAATGACTTAATAGAGATCAGGTAACATGACACAGGAATCAGTATAGAAGTTTAAAGAAGGGTTATAAAATAATATTTCATTGTTTCACCAACTATTTAGTATGTGATCTGAAAATAGAGCTGAATTAAGCTAGGCGAGGTCATCCTGTCATGTAAAGCAAATGGAAGACTGAATCTGCCTGAATCTTTTCATCTCTGTGGGAAACTAAAACTTACTGACCTCTGGATGTTAATGACTAAAATTCTCAGCTCCTTATGCAGTTTGCAACAAGCCATGTAAAGGACAAGAGACGAGAGCTGGAACTTTAGTGCCACGCCCTTTAAGTCACAGAAAGCTGCACATCATTTCTTTAATCAAACATAGTGGTGGCAGCATTATTTTGTTTAATGTTTTTTTTTTAACCTGGAGCAGAGAAACTGGTTAGAGTTGATGGGAAGATGAATGGAGTAACTTACAGAGCACTGAAATACAAGCTGTCGAAGGTGGACTTAAAGGTGCAATGTGGTTAAAAAAATAAATAAAAAAAAATAAATGTTAAGAGCGACCTAAATGATGTCAAGCCTTTTGGTCTCCAGATGTGGGAACATTTTCCTCCAGCTTTATTATTAGGAGCTATAGGATGTGTTTAAAGGAACATAAATACTCTTGCAGAGCTCTGAAGCGCTTAACCACACAATGAAGAACATGCATATAGTCTACATCTGTCTGGAAAAATACAAGCTGTTATTGTCCTCAGCCTTTCCTCCCGGCACTGTCTTTTATTCTGTTTGTTGATGGATGAGAGAAGAACAAAAAAATGGGCTGACTGCACAACACAACACCTCCCATACACAATGCTATGCCGATTAGATTATCTTTAATCTATATAGATTACCTTTACACTGAAGTCCAGAATGTATTCATACAGGGTCATTTCTCACCAGTTTTTCTCCTTTGGTTTGCAGCTATTCTGGGCGTGCACACGCTTGTCACCAGCAATCAGACGTATGATGGAACTGGAAGTAAAGAGGGATACAACGGTGAGTGCAGTGAGATTTTCCAACTCTTTTAAAAGTATCCAGAAATTGTGGATACTGGAACTGCTGGGTCTGTTTCAGATGTGATCAAAGGCGAGAAGATGAACCCTGTGTTCGATGAGCCTCCCAACCCCACCAATGTAGAAGAAACCCTCCAGAGGATAAAAAACAATGACAGCTCCTTAACCGAGGTCAACCTTAACAACATCAAGGTACTCGGAGGTCAAATTCTCAGTTTTCACTCATTTTAGTTGAAATTTTCTCAATACAAGCTTTTTTTTTTTCTTTCCCAGAACATTCCCATTCCCACACTGAAAGACTTTGCCAAAGCAATGGAGAACAACACGCATGTCACAAAGTTCAGCCTGGCAGCGACACGGAGTAACGACCCAGTTGCTGTGGTGAGATGAGGTGGTTTGTGGGCTTTTAATGGTTCTGTCGACACATGGTAGCTGCATATTTACGCCTTTTTTTTCTCCCCTCCTTTTCTGTCTCCTCCAAGGCATTCAGTGACATGCTGAGAGAAAACAAGACGCTGCGAAGTTTGAACCTGGAGTCGAATTTCATCACAGGAGCAGGAGTGCAGGCTTTGGTGGATGCATTGCTAGATAATGACACAATCACCGAGATCAAGATAGACAACCAGGTACTCTGCAAAAAATATAAATTTAACTAAGTCCCTTTTTCTTAAAATAAGTGCATTTTTTCTTCAACTGAGGGGGAAAGGAAAATACTATGGAACAAGACAATTTACATTTAAAATAAGAAAAATCTATTGCATTGTCTCATTTCAAGTGCATATTATCAAATTATTTCATTTTAAGAGCAAGAATACTCCTTCCATTGGCAAATCTGCTTATTTACCTGCTCAATTTAAGGGTAAATACACTTTATTTAAGTCATTTTTACTTTTGTCAATGGAATGAGTATTTTTACGATTAAAATAAGATAATTAGATCATATGCACTTGAAATAAGACAAAACAATTGTGTTTTCTTATTTTAAGTGTAAATTGTCTTGTTCCATTGGCAAGATGTCTCTTTTACCTCCTCAATCTAAGAACAAATGCACTTATTTTAAGAAAAAAATGACTTGTATAGATTTCGATATTTTTACAGTGTGTGACACATTGGCTGGTCTGGCAATTTCAGACAGTGCTGATCTGCTGGGACTTAGATAAACAATCATCTTTCACATTTACAAAAAGTAGTATCAGGGACAAACATCCAGTGAGTGCAGGGACTGGGATGACTGGTTTGAGTTGGAAAAATAATGGCAGCAGTAGCTCTTGTAACCAACTAATCGAATCAAAGGCTACATTCACACAGAGGCCTGCAGTGACCCAAGTTCAATGCGACCCAGGCCACTTTACTATGTGGTCCTGAATCTGATCTTTTCAAATGGGACCTGTGTGAGAACGGCCAGGTCACATTCGTCCGACCTGAACATCATTAATACTCAACAAAGGTCACTATTTTGTGTCTTTCTACGCTGATGCGGGAAGAAAGAAAAAACAATCATGGCGGACAATGATGCAGAGAGCAGTCTTTTTTTTTATTTTTATTTTTTTAACCATCTTGAAAAGACTGAGTTTTTAAGGTTTTGAAAGATCGCTAGATGCGCTCCAGCACTACCATCCACGTTTACTTCCATAAACACAGAGCGCGCTTGTTTGTGATGTCATTGCGTCCTCTAATTGGCATGCAGGAAACTTTCATTGTATGGATGCAGTTCACACAGGAGATCACATACAGTTTGCATATATTTGGAGATCTGAACTGCATCGCAAAAAAACAAAAATGGATTTCATAAAAAAATGTGAATTGAGCATTTAGGCCTGCAGTGTGACTTAGCCTAAATGTGTTTAAAACCATGAAACCCTGAAAATGTACACTAGCTGCTGCTACTGTTGGTTAAGATAAGGAAAGACCCTGAAGGCCACAGTTTAACAATTTGTGGTTCAATAAAAAGGTTACATGGTGTTGCAGTTGCACTTTCAGGTCCAAACTTCTTCTCTGTGGCCATTATTCCTGAACCCTGTAAGGAGTTGTATAGAAGATGGTTGGCTCAATAATTCTTGGTATGTTCTGCCTTAAAAACACTACAGCATGGATCCATCCTGACTGATGGTAGCGATGTTTATCCTTGGTACTTTTTTGGGATCATTCATCAATTTTTAAAGGAACAGATAAGAGCCTACCTGAGTTTTGTCAGTTACCAGCTCAGCTTTCTGTAAGGAAGACCTGAATGTAGTTCTTTATAAATATAATCCAACTTATTTGCCTTCTTTGTAGTATGTTATATTAAATTTACAGGTTTAATGTGTTTTTTTAAATAAAATATTAATACAGGTTTTCTTTAACATTACTGGGTGCTTTATTCTGGTTTTTGTAAATGCACAAAATCTTGGTTATATTCTTACTTATAAATAAGTTTGTCTTTGCCCACAGTTGTGTGGATATCTATTTATTGTGCTCTGATGTTCTGACCTCGGTGTGATTGTGTTTTCCTCAGAGGCAGCAGCTAGGCACCACCACAGAGATGGAGATTGCTAAAATGTTGGAGAAGAACAACTGTATAGTGAAGTTTGGCTACCAGTTCACCCAGCAGGGACCTCGGGCCAGGGCTGCGGCAGCCATCACCAAGAACAACGACCTCGGTATGCTTCAGATACTGATTTTAATCAGGAAGTCATTAAAAAAAAAATAAAAAATCAGCTGGTATCTGTTAAAGTGGAAATGTCATAACGGGCTATTTTGGCTTCTGTCAACATCCTTTCTGTCTCCAGCAAACATCTGTCAACAGTGTCCTACTCTCCTCTTTCTTTTAGCTCCTCCCCCTGGCAGAACTGCCATTACACAGGTCTGATGCATGGGTGTGTCAAGGGGTTGATAATAACAGTGACTTCTTTCACTGAATGATGCATTCACTGCATTAACAGTCTGATTACTGAGACTAAGTGATCTTGAAGAGTGACGACATCTCACTTCTGGTTTCCTGTACATGCTGACACGCTGTTGAAATAGTTTAAACTTTGACCACATAGTTGATGACTCACTTTTCCTTTTTAAGATTGACTAACAGACCTGTGGAGGTTAAAGACGACACAGCATGCTTACTATTATTTTGCTAAATAATGTTTTTTCTTTGTTGTTCTTTTTAGTCCGTAGGAGGCGAGTGGAGAGGGACCAGTAGGGACAGCGCTTCCTTTCTCCGAGCCAATTCTCTTGTTCATCTCATCGCATGGATTAAGTTCAGCCGTTGCCCTGGTCTCATCTCACTGTGTGGATGTTCTAGTCCTGTGCCAAACTGTGGGGGCAAGGCATGCTCTACCTGAACAGTACATCAGAGAAGAAGAAGGGGAAATAACTGGAATCGCCCGCTCTCTTTCCACATGTTTCTTATGTTTGTTATTGTTGTAAATCTCATTAGTTTTTAAACGTGACATTTCAGCTGCTCTTATTTTGAGCCTTTATATGACCTGTCCCTCCTTTTACATGTTTCTTTCTTTTATACGACGCTGTAAAACACGTGAAGCAGTCATGCGCAGCAGGGAGTAGTAACATTTGGAGAGGTGTGCCGTCCTTGATCAAAGCGTCATGTTGAAACAATGCGTGAAGTTCATGGTTAGCTCTGATGACTCCTGGCTCTAATGAAGCAGAAGCAGCATGAGGCAGCACAGACCCTGCCATTTGCAGGTGTTGTTTAATAAAAGCCTCTTGTAAAGCTGGTATGACCGGACCTGGTGTCAGTCTGAACTGAATAGACAGGATTATATGTTAAAGTCACACAGATAACCTGGGTTTATCCCCTGCTGTGAAATATATACTGTAATTATTGTTTGTTCTAATCAAACTAAAGTCCTTATTTTGATACAGTTGCTATTTTAATGTTAATTATGTTGATCGAAAGAATAAAATTTGGATGAGAATGTTTAGGATCAATCTAAAGGGGGCCTTTTTTTGCAGAAAAGAGTAGAAAAATGTCGGTAATAAAGGTTTAGAAGCTCAGACATGCCAAAGACTAACACTCACAGTAGATCACACGGTTTTAACCCCACAGTGCGAATCTGAGGAACAACTACAACAACAACAAAAAATCTTGTTTAAAATATATATATATATATATATATATATATATATATTTATATTTGGAGGCTTTAAAATAAAAGGATGCTACTTCTGCTTCTATAACATGTTCATTCATAAAACAAGGGTTTTGTAAATTTGTCACAATTGCTTTCAGGTTCCAGCTGCTTGTATTTTTATTTTACTCTGCATCACAGTTTCTATTTTCAGTTGAAACTCTTGGCTTTCCCCCACACTGTTGCCACTTTAATGCTCATTCTCATGTTCAGGTGCATCACATCAAACATCTGTTTGACTAACCTGCTTCAGATAGTTAACCAGGACTTAATTAGGAGTTACTTGAACCTTGTATATTCTGTTAATAGGAACAATATGCTGGCATGACGTCCTCACTTATGAACATCAATTTTCTGTTTACCAAAAAACTTCACATTCCATAAAAAAAACATATTTTTACTGTTTTGTTTTCTCTGTATTTTTTTTATCCGAGCACTTTTTTTCACCTCGACATCCGTTATTTCCTCCTAACATTACGTTTTTACATTCCTTTGTTCTCCAAGTCGTCTGTTGTTCTTTTTTTTCCTCTTTTGCTCGGGCCTGTTGGTTGTTCCTGGATGCTAACATGCTTATTAACTGTAAAATACCATCTCAAAAAAAAAGTATGCACACAGATACATTTGTGTATCACATAACCATTTTTTTTGTACCTGAACTCAACACCCAGATGTCAACACAAGGAATGTGTATTATAATATAAAGAAAACAGGTTAAAAAGCACTGCTGAATATAAAATATCCTCAACAATAAATGTTTATATATACATCTGATGTGCTTCTTTTGTTCTTTTACACTAGGATTTTGCAAGTTGTTTTCCAATTAATGCATAAATGTGTTTGTCAAGTTGTATATATATATATATATTTTTTTTTTCTTAAGGAAACTACATAATTTGTTTTTAACTCAAAAAATACCTTTTTTATGTGTTAACTGGAAAAAAGATAAGCAGATGACTGCCCTGGTTCATGTCTAAGCATGGGCTCAGCGGCCATACAGAGGAAGCTCCTTTTTACTGCTTGCATAGAGGATTTTACTCTTGCAGTTATGACCCATATGTCATGCCCATTGGTGAGAGTTCAAAATGATAATCCAATAACGAGCTTTTTAGCACAGATCACCGCCCAGCCAAGACTCTGGAACAGCGTCCATTACTCTAAATGACGCCTCCGTTTGTCAAGCCATCTAGCTTTCATTACTCTTAAACAAGATCCTGTAACGTGTCATTATTTTGGACATACTGAGCTAGAACTCAGGCTTTGTTAGCTGCCTCATGTCTGCTAAGTCACATTTAAATATGTTGTCTTTTCAATAATTATTTCCAGACCTTTCACAAGGAAAAATAGAAAGTACTCTATAATTTCATCCTTCAGAGGAGTGCAAAGTAAGTCCCATTTCAGTGGGAATTGTGGGGGAAATTCACACATAGTTTCTTTCATCTTAATTTGTGGTTATTTCAAAAGAAATTGTTATATTTTAGCTAAAGAAAGGTTTAAAACAACCTTTTCACACCAGTATGTCCTTTCTAATTTCCTCCTTAAACATACTTGAACAGTCAGACTCTGTTAGTTTTATTTGATCAACCCTTATAAATTATTGACCACATGCAGAAGTCTGCTCAGCCTTTGTCATTTACAATGAGGTGTAAATGAAAGGCATAAACTTTTTCCGTACTCGCTTATTCTTTCAGAGTAACAGGGGTTATGTCCATTTTGAGACAGAGACTATTATAAGGGAGCAGGGAACCCCTGACATCCATTTTTAACTTCGGTGAAAAGAAGCTGAATTACCTGCAGAGCATAAATCCCTACAACAGGAGACCTGGTAAAAATCCATGCAGGAAGGATTTCACCATAGGATGGCAACATCTGCTCCACCGTGCAACCAGAGAAATTATCCTGTTCTAGAAAAAAATAATGTTAAATTAGAACAGCATTCTTATTACAAAAAAATAACTTCAAATGCAAACAGATTAACTCTACGTCCAGATCAGATGGAAAATAAAACTAAAATGGCTATAAGTCTGCTATAAGGGAATACAGATTAAGTTTAAAAACAAAATGCCGTAAAACCTTTCAAAGCTTTTTGCATTTTTGTCTGAAAATTAATCATGTTATATTTGCATTAATGCTTGTGTGTTTTGCGGGTTTAATATGATGGTTTTGTTAGGAGTGCATACATGCTTACTGCACTTCTCAGCAAATCCTGGAAGATTAAGATTAAAAGGACATAACATGACACCAAAACATTGAATCCTCATGGAGGATTTGGAGAAGTTCATTGTAAACAGGTCAACAAACATAATGAGTTGATTTCATTATCTAAACAATAAGAATGTTTACAAAAGTCTTTTACACACTTTGTAGATCTGCTGTTTTTCCTCCATGTATCCAGTGTTTGGGGGTTTCTAATCATAGACAGACCTTTTTGGTTTGGGTTGGATCTTCGTGAGCTGCACATATGCAGCCCTTATTCAGATCCGGTTTTTAGCTTGTTTGCACATGCCTGAAAGATGATGTAATGAATATGACTCCATCCCTCTGTGGGTTTCCACTGCCAGAGCATCGCTGAGGCAGCGAGCTTCTGTCAGAGAAAACGCTTCACTCAAGGCAGCAAACTTTGATCAATTGAGGTTGAGGTGGGGTCAGGGTGACTGAAGTGTTTCAACTGTGTAGCAATCAGCTTGCTGTCATGTCTGTTAGTCACTAAACCAAGTCATCATTTTACACAATAAAAATACAAACCTAGATGGGAGAATCTGTGAGCAGACCACACACATTTTTGCTTATGTAAGCACAGTTCAAACTGCTCATTTACACTGCCTACACATGTGGAAAAATAGACCGAACAAAAGCCTCCCTCTCAGTCTATTGGACTTTTTTATGATCAGACAGGACTCTCAGGCTGTATGTACGCTCAAATAAAAAGTTGAAGCTTGACCAAGTTCCAAATGTTCAGTTTTTCGCCCTTTAAGTGGAGCATAGCTTGCAGTTTAGGAGCAGCTGAAACAACCATGGCATCACAAAATTAACAGTTGCTGAGAAAAACTATTCTCTGATGACAAAAAAGCAATTTTATCAACAAAAAAAGAGGGACAATCCACAAAGTTTGTATTTGCATTACATTTAGAAAGTGTTGAAAAGAAAAAATTAGACTAAAGTTGCGTATTAGAGAAATGCATTTTGTATATTAACCTCAGTGCTCTCATTTTGGAAGACTTCCAGACATGTCAAACTGAGGAGATCCTCATTGTGTTGGAGGGACTATTAAGTCCTTATCCAAATATAAGGATACAGGAAGAACTTTATTAGTAAATGTAGAGGTTTATAAAGGAAACAGCCAAAATGGCATGTAAACTGTGCTTCTTTGCAGCTGGATTTATAATTGAAAAGGCTCAATATACCGTAATAGAAAAGAGGTGTTCAGTCAGTGAGCCTATTTATTCTGGGAAAGCCAGATGTCAGACAGGGGCTCCTATCTAAAGATGAAGGCAGCACATGCTGTGCATTATGGATGGAATGAATTCCTCCCTGAAAATTGCAGTTAAATGGGTCCTTGCAGACAGAGCTTTAAAACTAATGAGCATTTTGATAGAAAAAGCTAAGCTGTAGAGATGGAAATGCATGAAGAACTCCAGAGAATTCTGGGCCTCTATAAAAATAGTCACTTGCGCCACCTGCTGGATAAAATAAAGAGCTTCTTGACATATCCTGAAATTAAGCTGCTTGACTTTTCACGAAAACCTGAAGTAAACTATTTAAAATCTTTTACATAGTTTTTTTTTTCTTCTATTGTTCTTAATATTTTGAGCCCATCATATTTCTGTAAACTGCTCATATTTTGTAACCTCAAAAAAATGGAAGGGTATAGCAGTGTGGATATTTGATAGGAAATTGGAAACATATCCATTTGATTGAGTTTTAATCTGAGTTTATTTTTATTAGTTTTTAATGCAATCTGAGATCTTTATCTTGTTTAATTGCAATTTTCCTTTTTGAATCTGATTTTGGCAGAAGCATAACTAGGGGTAATAGTTTACAATTTTAAATTCCAATGTGTTTACAAATGTTCTACCTTTCTTTTTTTTTATTATTCTACTACTGCAGTTGAATGAGTATCATTTAATATTGTTATTGTACCCTACTCAAAAAATTAAAGGAACACTTTTTAATCAGAGTATAGCATCAAGTTAATTAAACTTCTGGGATATTGATTTGGTCAGGTAAGTAGCAGAGGGGGTTGTTAATCAGTTTCAGCTGCTTTGGTGTTAATAAAATTAACAACAGGTGCACTAGAGGGGCACAACGAGACGACCATCAAAACAGGAATGGTTTTATAGGTGACACTGACATTGAATGATTTTTTCTCCCATTGAGATCTGATGTGTTTTCAAAGTTTTCCTTTAATTTTTTTGGAGCAATGTATTTAACTTATTTTATTATTATGCTGTAGATCAAAGATGACGCATCCATTTGTGTGTTGTTTTAATCTCCAAATTTTCTCATAAAGTTAAGATGCTTGATCAAGTTCCTTTTTATGGTGTTTTATCCATTAATATTATACTCTGGTGTATTTTATTTGTAACTACACTGTTGTCTATATAAAGAGCTTTATAGATAAAGTTTGATTGAATAATTGAGTTGTAATACTCAATATGTCCATTAGAGGTCAGAATAAAACCAATTTTCCACATCCTCTGACTTTGTTAACCAAAACCATGAAGGTGTCCAACAGGACAATATCTGTCTGGTGGTTCTGCTAATATATATATTCCGTACTTTATTCATCTAGAAAAAATACATACATAGGTAAAATAAGCTACAGCACATTTGGCCTGGAGCCTTCCCAGATATAAATTAGGGGTGGGAGTGAACTGGCACAGTCAGTCATATCCTCTCTCCTAAGAAGCTGTGGGTGGATTTGGATCAGGATGCTGATCGTTATCTTGGTTACAAAATGAGAAGCAAACTGTTCTTTATTCACTTTTTAAAGGCTACAGATGTTTCCTTTTTAGTTTTCCAGCATATAGACAGAAGGCAGTCCTCTAAGTGGGCTTTGGATGTTTTAAAAAGAACTGTTGTGTACTTTTAGCATATCCAACTATTGAAGGATTAGACCGTCACCATTATGTGCTAAATCCTCCATGTTGAATGATAGAAAGTAAATATTACATGACTGCAGGACTGATTTGCAGTTCAGTCTAAAAAAGTGTCATGTCATGTTGAGTGCATCATGACTAATTAATGCAACACGCTCCCTCTTCCTGTTCTCTTGCATAAGTTTAATGACCTGATTTCCATTAGAAAATGTCATGCAGCAGGATGAGCACAGCTTCATGTACAACCGATTGAGGCTGATTGAATAAGTAAAGCATTCAGGGATCATGAGTCCACTTGTTGCTCCCTCATTTGTTCCACAGCGGATCATGTTTCCTCTTAGTACATTCTGTCCATCTCACACAGGCACCTGCTGCCTTTGTACTGCTCTCAGAGAAACTACTATCTCTTAATGACACCACATTTAGTTCACTCATTTTTAACCGTCAGTGGTCAGTATGGTAAAGCCCTTTGTGTGTTTTAATAAATGAACAAAGTTCCCTATACAAACAACGTCAGCGAGTTTTCCTCCACTTGGCCATCTGAATAACCAATAACAATAAAGAGTGCACAGACGGCAGTGGCAGGTGGCAATGAAAATTTCCACTCACTATCTGTTCAGTAATGAATACATGATGAGCAAAGCTTTGTTTTTCACAGAAGTCCAGATTGAGAACAGATACTGGAGTTTTAATCTGCTCATTTTCAGTTTGTATTGTCTCGCAAATTCTATCTACGACCACATGATATGTGGTCCTAAAATCTAGAAAAAAAGACTTAGGCAAACTTTATTGTCATTTTAAATTACATTGTTTACAGCTTGCAACAGTGAAATGAACATTACCATTATAATGTACAGCAGTGAATGTAAACATTGTAGCAGAGAAGGATACCAGTTTAAAAAATAATGGTGCATATATGGAAAGGTGCAGTGCAAAATATTGTGCAAAATGCAGAAGAACATAGATTTTTGTCCTGTTTAAAAGGATTAAGATGCTGAACTTACAGATTCACTACCGTATATAATCATCAAGCGAGAAGAAGTTAAAGGAATCTTTTCATATAAACCTGAATGTAAACAAAATATATTTACTTAGCTTTAGTAGCGTACAATGAAGCCACATTTTATATTAAAAAAAAACATTTAAGAATAATACTTTACCGTTATTGATTGATTTTTTTGCCTGACAGCCGACAGTGAGTACTAAAGATTAAAATTGCAGATGTTTACTGAGCATATTATTTTTCAGATAAGGGCCTCATGAATGTTTTCACATTGAGCCCCACAAGGGGCCTTTAAATATTTTGGGGAGGCACACTAAAATCAAAACTATATACTATTTAAAACAGTAAAACATAGGTCATGCTGAGCAGGCCTTAACTATTGTTTGATGCTGCATTTACTTAGAATCAGAAAAGGCAGGTGCGTTCGCTGGCGCTTGTACAACTCAGTTTTAGTTGTTCAACCAACAACTCACCACATTTCGCTGGGTGAGTCATTGGTTGAACAACAAAGATCATTTTCTTTTTATCTCACATACTTACCTCTTCTTAAACAACAATTAACCATTGTGAGATTTTGGTGACTTTCACTTGATTTTCTGTAGAGCTCTTTTGGTTTCGTTGTGAAATACAAAAAAAAACAACCATAAAAAACAACCTTACTTGCGATGTGAACCTACACACACGCAACTCTTGTGAAATCATGAAAAATATAAGGCAACTGATCAAATCTCCTAAGTCACTCTGAATTATTTCCTCCTTCTTCCTGTTTATTTGAATTTTATCTTTCTTTTTACAAATAAAAGATGTTTATTTGCATTTTGCAGGAAATTGTTTGAGATATATTTGAGGACATTGAAAAATTATGGAGTCAGGATGCTTCCAAATATTTGTAAAATTGAACAAAACATATTGTTTAAAATGGCAGGTATATCATTTTCTTTAGTGCACTTTTAAATTCCTTATTTTAGGGTGGAAATCCATACTTCATTAACACTCCATGTTTTCAAGGTCAGTGTACATTGGCTGATGAAATAAAGCTACAGTGGACAGTAACTCTGTTTGTTTAGCTGATGTTAATATGATTACAGGAAACGGTGGAGAAGTTAAACCAGTACATAAACAGACTTTAGCAGACTTTTTATGATTATCCATCTTGGGAAATTCCCCATTTATTTATTTATTTTTTTTACATCTTTTGCAATGTGTACAGATTAGAAAATAGACTGTTTCCACCACATGCCTGTGAACTCACCTCTTTTCACAGTCCTGCACAAATTTCCGGCCTCACATTTCCCAGACATGGTGGAAGAGTCACAGAGCCTTGCCAAACCTTTCCACACGGCGTGATATTATTACTCAAATACTCACTTCTTTTTCTAATTAAGTATCATGGCATGAAAATCAGTTGACTTCCACCACATGATGGCTGGCATTTTATGTTTTGGTTAATCTTTTTTAGACACTTCGAATTTTTAGTCTATAATACATTTTTTAAAGCTGGTTTGACTTCAACTACATTATTGTTTATTTTTAAAAGAACTTAATGTAATTAACAGTGGTTAAAAGATATGGATTTTTGCTTTTATACCATCAGATGCAATTAAATAGTCATCTGTCTTTAATCTACTAAGTCCAATTCTCTAAAGCTGCCATCCTGCAACTTTAAGATGCATCACTTTCTCAAGACACCTGAATCAAATGAGTTGCTCATTATGAGGCCTTTGCTGAGCTAAACGACTAAAGCAAGATGAATGAAAAAAGCTGTTAGAGTTAAGTGTTGTTGGAGAAGAGATGCACTGAGAGGTTGCTGGATGATAGCCCTCAAGATTGGATAAAAAAAAAATCATTAGAAGAACTAAGTTAAAATATGAATTTGACTGGAGTGTGCAATATACTCTTTCATTGCTTATCATTCATGTAGTTAAAATAATTTCAAATGAAAAAAGTATAATTTAGTCATGTGCATCAGCAACACTTAATATTTAGCTGTAGTTGTGTGAAAGAATTATGTTTCACAAAATGTTACCAGATTAAATAAATGAACATACTCATCAAATACTTTAATTAGGCCTTTGCTTGCATGGTAAGATGTAAGCACCAATAGTTCACAGTTAGAAATAAATTTAGCAGTTACTGCAATCTTTATCTAATGTTATGTAATGCAGTAATAGATTACCTTTAGGAGCTTTTTGTGTGTTTTTCAGTGGAAAATAATAAAACTATGTTTAGTAAAACTTTATACATAGTTTTACATACATAAACACTCCTGGTTCTAACTAAACTTTTTGTCAGTTTAAACAAAATACAAAGAGTTATGACCAACATGTTTTATAATTGAAACTGAAGGAGAATTTGCATCCTACTGATAATCTTCCTTATAGCAACACAGAAAACAAACACATAGGCTAAATCTCTGATATTATGTTTTAGATTAACATCATTTTGATGGGAGCCTTTATCTTTACTTTTGTATGTCATTCTAATAAATAATATTTATATATATGTTTTTTTTTATTATTTTTTTGTCTTGAATTTTACATTTTTCAGCTCCTCTTTTGGAAATAAACCAGCACAACTCATTAAATAACTTAACAAAATAACTTAAATAACATAGAATTTCCCTTTAAACATAGTAAACGCATTTAGAGTAACGCAACATTTGTGACTTAAAAGAATAAAAATATAACTACATTAACTAACAAACACTAATAAGGTTTGAATATTTGTTGGAAACAGGGATATCTAATCTTTACGGAAGAGAATTATGGCTACTGAAAAAATAAAAAAAGTTAACTGATTTTTAAATATTATTTCAGTTTAATATGGGAAAAAAGCCAGAATTCTAACTTTAATCTCAGAATTCTGACTTTAATCACAGAATTATGACCGAATTCTGTCAACTAACTTTTTTCTCAGAATTTTGAGGAAAAAGTCAGAATTCTGCGATTAAAGTCAGAATTCTGCGATTATAGTCAGAATTCTGAGATTAAAATCAGAATTCTGAGAAAAAAAGTCCGAATTCTGATATTAAGGCAAAATTCTGAAACAAAAGTCTGAGATAATAGTCAGAATTCTGAGATTTAAGTCAGAATTCTGACTTTTTTCTCATATTTTACTGAAATAAAAAAATAAAAAATCAGTTAACTTTTTGTTTTTTTCAGTGGCCCTAATCCTCTTCCTTAAATCTTTCTGACGGCAGTCTGAGAATTATTTTGAAAGTCTGACCGGAAGTTGGACGTTCCTTCTGGCCGTATGGGCTTCATCAAGCGGATCTAGGCGACAGTGGAGCAGTTAGGCTGTCCTCCCCAAACATGAGCTTTTTCCCCAGGGTGGAGGAACCCAAAAAGAGCCGGCATGGAGCTCTCCCAGCCGCCTAAACCTTGGCAGTAGTTCGGCTGCATAGAGACACTCGGGCCGTTTAAACAAACAGAGGTATCTGTCCTCTTTATTTATTCACCAGAGAAGATGGCGGAGTTCTCCCCTGTTCTGCCAATGCGGGATGGAGGAGGACGACTTGGCCAGCCCATCTTCCCGCGGTCCAGGACCGGTTCCGAGTCCGAAAGCGAGCTGTCCCAGAGCCTGGCCCGAACCAAGATCCGGTCCTACGGAAGTACAGCCAGCGTCACAGCATCCCTGGGCGAGAAATACATAGAGCATCGGGTTACAGACAGTGATACCCTGCAGGGGATTGCTCTCAGATACGGTGTGACGGTAAGGCTGCTGCCTTTATACTTTCATGTTTACCATTATGACAAACATTACGGTAATTACTACTGCCTGGCACATCTACAGCAGCCATCATCACTAGATGCCACCATGTTTGACTTCTTCTAATGTGTGTTTGTTCACTCAAAGTCAATTTAAAACCATCAGTGCAGAAAATAAATGAGGCCATTAGTGTCTCATTTGATGCCTACCTGCACTCAGCCTGGTAGCTGTGGTTCTTTTACCACCTTCCACACAGGAAGTCAAAAACAATTGCTCTTAGTTCTCACATGTTAACTATTGTGCAGACTGCATGGTGCCAGTTCAGATCAGTTCACCATGTTTCACCATCGAAAACTTTCCTTCATCAGTCTTGGAAAGAAAACCTTTTAGATTTGTCTTTCTGATCAACACTTTTCATTTTTAATAAGTTGATGAGGTGATATATTAGATTTTCCATTCTTGTCAGTTTTGGCCCTAATACAGATGAAATTTAGCCTGATAAACTAGAAAAGAAAAAAAGGTCTAAACTAACAAATCCCACTGCATTGCATTCACCTTTTTTTCTGAAATGAAATGTTTTCTGTTAGAAAAGGAAAGAGATCTTTTAAAAAAAAAAGATACCCAAAGAATCCAACATCTTTCTTTCTTTGTTTTTTTTTTTTTTTTATCTTCCTGTTCCTTTTCAGATGGAGCAAATCAAACGAGCCAATAAGCTGTTTAGCAACGACTGCATCTTCCTAAGGAACAGCCTCAACATCCCCGTGGTGTCCGAGAAGCGCTCAATCTTTAACGGACTGTCTCTGGAGTCTCCTGATGGGGACAGCGAGACGGCGTACCAGGATACAAAAACGCCTCATGTTATGATGGAGGACATCGAGGGCCCCTCGCCGCCCTCATCCCCTCCCCCTGAGAACTCTAGACCTTCTCAGCCTCAACCCGAGGAACTGTCAGCCAAAGACTTCTTGCACAGACTGGACTTGCAAATCAAACAGTCAAAGCAGGCTGCACAGAGAATGAAAGAAGAGGAAGTTAGGTGAGTGGCTGAACCTTCACGCAAAACACAGCTGCCTCTTTAATGTGTGATTTCTGTTTCAGACCCCACTGTTCACCTTTTTGCTTCTGTTTCACTTTGTTTCATGAGCCAAATCACCTCCGACTCCCAGCAGAATGGGTTTGTTTGAGGTTTTTATTGGTAAATGAGCATTGCTTCATGGAGAACTACTACTTCCTAGTCTGATAAAGGTCAGGAAATGTTCTTGTGCCGCGGGCAAAACCAAAACTTGTTGGTTAACTGGAAAGTGTTTTTTTTTTTTTGGAGAAAAGAAACTGTTTGGACCACAGAGAAACCTTTTCCCATGCATGGGGCACAGTAATAATGGCAGCATGGTTTGGGACTGTTTTATTGAGACTGCATCCTGCAAATAATAACTGAAAATTAAACAATTGGCACCAGCAACAGACAAATCAGATATGGCTCCCGCCCAAAGTGAAGAGAGACAAGGATGTAGTGCAGCTGAATTCAAGATGACGTGTGAAGTCGAATAAGCCTCAGTTAGCAGCTGTGAAAAAAAAAAAAATTGACAGCTTCTCTCTGAGACTATTTCTGATAACCTTTCTACTGGCTACCATGCTTCACAGGTCAAATGCTCTTTTTGGCAACCTGGGGAACTCTCCCATGATTGGCTCAGGAACAGGAAGTAAACACTGATCACACACTGCACCAAAGTAGTTCGTCTGTGTTCCTCTGGGTTTTGAAAGGATACAAACTTGATTAAGATGCTGATTGTTTATTGGAAATGTGACTTCCATCCAGGATGACAAATAAGAACAACTTTGGTTAATTTCTGATTAAACCTCTTAGTTTCAGTGACTGAGTTAAAGGACTAATAACTGAGATTACAGAAGCAGTCTGTTTCTAAAGGTAAACCCATGAATCTCCATGATTGCATGTACTTACTTAACTGAATATCTAAATATAGTTATACCACCACACTTACAATTACCCAAGGAACAGATTTGTGATCACAAAGGTTTAAAGAGATTTAGATTTAGTACATTAGATGGTCCTGAAAGGAAAACAAACATCAATCAGTGTGCTATTTTCCTTAAGGTAATCTCAGAAGGTTTCTGGTTTGTTTCATTAAAAGAAGAAAGTCAAACAGTCTGTGTTTGCCCTGGGATGGTGTGGAAACAACAGAGTGAGGCTCTGTTTGTCTAAACACGCTAAGGCTAAACAGCTGGAAGCTCAGTTATTTCTCTGTTGCCAAAACCTGCTGTAGCTGCTAGAACTGTAGAGGGTGAAACTAACAGCACAGCTGCTTGAGAGGAACCTGCATGCTAAGGAAATAACAGAGTGACTGAACCACTTTGAGAGAGGCTGAAGTGGAAAAAAAAGGCACGCAGGGTGACTCGGTCTACTATAAAACTAATGCACAAATAACAACTTCCTTTATATGAATGAATGCATGTGCTGCAGCGCTCCAGCAGGCATGCATGCCCTTCTGTCCCAACATGCTGAGGCGGGCTACTGCAGGACAAATCTCCTGCTAAATACCTGACAGTTGCATAACAAGGCATCTGGCTGGTACAGCATAAGGAATCTTCATTTATATTCATTTTCTGCCTACCGGGAGGCATAGGAGTCTGAACCCGGTTCCTATCAGGGATCATCTTAATAGACTCGTCATTTTTTTCAGCTTTGATAAATGTATTTTTTTTTTTTTGTTTTTTTTTAGCAATATCAGGTAACAAAGATACCAGTCAAGTGGCAGATTCCTTTAAAGACATCATATTAATGCCCCTCATATTACAAATTTCCAATTCCACTGAGGGACAAACAGTCATGTAGTGAGCATGTATCCGAACCATCTGATTTGACTTTACTGGAGCTGCAAATCTTTCAACCACATCTACAGACGTTGCACATTATTTATAAAACACCTCAAGCTCTGTCAAATTGGACAAAGAAGAGGGAGTGATCATTGATTTTTCTGCTCTCACCAAAGACTCTCTGTAAGATTTACGTCCGGACTTTGACCAGCCTGTTCTATCACATAATGATGCTTTGATCTAAACCATCCAGTTGCAGCTCTGGCTGCATGTTCAATGTTGTGGTGCCAGATAGTGAACCTAAGTACCAGTCCAAAGTCTTGTAGCCTGTCTTTGGCTTACCTGTTTCCCCATTAATTATGAAAAATTTCTCTGTCCAGTCAAACCTGAGCATCTTCTCCCCCATGTTTGCTGTATTCATTGCATTCAATAAGGATCTTTGCCCTGCAGAGGACCAATAAAGGGCAAACTTTTCACTTTAAGACGATGCTTTGAACTTTGCTCTGTTTAACATATTTAAACCTTTATCCTGTTGCTGTACACACAGTGATAATTGGCAAACACTTTTTCAATTGGGGGATCCTTTTAGGAAAATGAGTTGCAGTGGATTTTATTTTATTTAGATGCATGACAATGAAGGATGGGTGAAGACAAAACTGGACATTTAAAAAAAAGATTAAAGTTGGTGATTTTGTCATTATGAAATTCAAAAATGTTCAGGTTTTTAAAAAACAAAACAAAAAAACCCCCAAAACTTTGCATTGAACCCTTTTCTATGTTTATGTTGCTTTATAGCCCAGGTAATGATCTCTGCTGCTTCATCTTATTTGTTTTGTGTTTTCCTTTTCGCCAATATATCTCTGGGAATAGATGTCTCAGAGCTAGATGATAGCCCAACAGATTTGCTTTCACAGGCGGACCATTATGGTTGTTGCCATAAAGTTCCACTTGTACATAAAAGTTCATTGAAAATTATTTAGGGAGTAAAATCGTATACAATAAAAACTGAGACAGAAAGGGACCTGAGAAAGAAAGATGTAATAAGAACTAAGGGGAGAGGGAAATGGGAGATGCGAAACAGTGCATGAAAATACAGAAAATAAAACAAAGCAGCAAAAATAGACAACAAAAAAGATAAACACTAACTCCTAGAAGTCTACTCTCACACATGCATTAGAGGGAGAAAAAACAGAGAACAGAACAGCAGAAAGATGAAAACAGAGAACCTAAGTAAACATCCAAAAAGCTTCCAGAGCCGATGGTATCCCTCAGATATCCATGTGTATGGAAAGGGCTGGTTATACTCCCGCAGCAGTGTGTCACAGTGAGTTTGTTGCAGGTATAACGCAGACATTTTTGATTTATGCTCAATATTGAAGCGTGATCTTTTTTCCACGCCACAGCTCAAAGGGAGAAAATCAGAAATTAGATGTGGGTCTGATATAGATTTGACCAATCAGAGGCCTCCTGTCTGCGGACATCTACAATTTGGGAGAGGTGCAGCAAAGCCTGCGGAAGGGACGGGGGCATATCTGCGTTCATCGCGACACCTATGCAGACGACCTAATTTCGAAGTATAAATCAGCCTTAAGGCATAACCTGTGTTGATTACACAATATTATTCAGGATGCTATATATCTGTAGCTGCAGCTTAGTATTTAGTATTGGTGTGTATGAGCATGCTTGCGTATAAAGGATTTATAAAGGAAAATATGCTCAATAGCAGGTGTGGGCGGCCCCAGAGTCACCCTACAAGGCACGGACACGATAAAGAGGCGAAGCAGATATCTAGAGGCACCGCAGGTCACTGGGACACAGGGAGCTCAGACATATACCCCATTTACGCTACCCTTGAAAAACCGTGCCGAGACTAGGGTTGTCAAAAGTATAGATACTGAAACGTATCCGGATACAATACTTGTTTTTAAAAGTATCGATACAGTGCCACCATTCATCTAAAGTGCAGAATAGAGGACAATGCACTTTCAGAACACTGTGTGATTGAATAATTCTGTGCACTATTCAGTTACAGACTTTTTTTGTAACAGGTGCAGCTGATGAGAATTATTTTTGTTTCTTAACCAGTTTGGCTAGCGTCATTGTTATGTGTGCAAAGCATAGCCAAGTAAGGAACACTTAATATTAATTTTATAAGTTTTTTTTTTATCAAGCTTGCTTAATATTGTGCACAGCATACAACCTCAAAATATTGTTCTTATTGTTTATTGTACTTATTTATTGTATTTCATTTATTAATGAAAATATTTCTGTAGAATTTTGGAGTCTTTGTTTTTATCCTTGTGGTATCGAAAATGGTATCGAGTATCGAATATTTTCCTTAGTATCGGAATCAAGTTGAAAAGTTTAGTATCGTGACAACCCTAGCCGAGACCGATCCGAGCTCAAGAACTGAGATAACTTATCGTGTGTAAATGGAAAGCAAACTGAACTGAACCGAGCTAGACACAACCGGACCGCGCTAACTGCAGACCAGTTCCAGAGGTGGGCTTGGCTCGGTTTTTCCCTGGCTCAGTTCTCTGATAACAAGAGCGCATGAGCAGAACACGTCATCTCACTCTGGCTGCACATCCCGATTCACACTCCGTTCCAGTAGTTGGTGGTAATGCCCCTCCGGAAGTTGCTTGACAACCAACACAAAACCAAAGAAGAAGAACAACTATAAACAACAATCGAAATCTTCTCTTCTTGTGTTTTATGGCGGTTGGGGAACAACTTTTGGTGCATTACCACCACCAACTGCTTGATTTCCTCCTTCAATACTGGCAGTAATACCGCAGATCGTCACTAGGAGGTGAGGAGTCGAGGAACCGAGCGTGATGCGTAAACGGTCGTCAGAACAGAGCTCGGCCTGGTTAACTGATCCGAGCTCAGACCGGTCTCGGCATGGATCAGTTTTTCAAGGCTAGTGTAAATGGGGTAATAAGGATGGCCACATCCACAAGAGAAGGGCAGACAGAGCACCAGGGGCCTGACCCCCGGGGGTCCAAACCACTCTACAGCTTCATCTCATCTTAAAATAATTATTTTAAATAAAAGAAAAAGGAGTTCCTATTCTTCAGTTTCTTAGTTCATTTCAGGATATTTTTTAACTAACTTGCTTGTTTTACTATTTGCAGGAACAATGAGGACTACACGGCCCCTGAAACTTCATACCAGGAGCTTTAAAGGACCGGCCCGTTTCTACAAACCCTCATTATTAACACACAACCTCAACTTTTTGTGTTTACCATGCTAAACAAGTGTCATGTTTGCCTTCTTATTTATAGAAATGTAATGATTTGTTTTATTAAATCTTTTTTTGTTGTCGTTTTCATTCTTTTTTTACGGTTTTATCTTCCTGCTCTATTGATGCTGCTGTACAGAACACACCGGCTTCATTTGCCCACATGCTGAAATGAGATACGCTAGGCCTGATGAAAGCTCTGCATATTTGAATTCTTCTTGACAGAACCGAATCATTGGAATGTCTGTTAAAGTGTTTTTCATCAGTGTTGTCCCTGTCACTAGCAAAAGCCCCAAAGACTGAAGTGATGGGTGGATTCTTGCCTTTGAACACGTTAAGTCTTTGTTTTTGTTGGAAACGGAAGTGAAGAGAGAGTTCTATTTTTGAAGTGTGAATGCATTATTTATATGTGAGGAGAACATGTCGGTAGCAGCTGTTTTATGGTGGTTTTAAACTTCTTTGGTTGTATTTGTGGAAAATAAAAATGTATTTAAGCCATACTACAACATGTCAAGTGTGTTTTATCACAAGGCTGAGTTATACAGATTTTGCTGTTGCTAAAGGACTCCAGGGAAACTTAAAATCACATCGGACAGGTTGAGAGATGCACCAGTTGTTCCCCTTTATTTGGTGTTGAAGTTGAAATAACATGTTGGGCACACTGAGGGGTTATTTTCATGGTTTCCTGAATGCAACGCTAAACTTATGACACACACTGACTCACTGTCTGAGTGAATTGGTGTAAAGAGTTTGGTCTCCTGACTGGAAAAAAGCTCAATATAAGTACAGCTCATTTACCATTCTGATATAAATTTTATTTACCTTAATGTATCCCAGAGTAAGTAATTATTTAAAGATGAGGTTTGTGGCCCTCTGGGAAAAACTTTTGGCTACTAAAGCTGATATAACCTGAATTAGTTGTTTCTTAAAATGAAGCGATGCACACAAAGCTTTCTTCTTGATAGAGTTTCCTTGGCTCTTTTTGAATCTGAAAATGTTTTTTTTATTGCATAACCATCAAACATTGTTGTATGGCCTCAGCAGGCCATACTAACTTAAGCATTAATCCACTTTGCAGGGATATCTGAATACTTCAGCAAACACTAATGTTCATATAGTAATCTGAGCACTGCTAGTGTCTTACCTCTCTTAACACAATATTTTTTGTGCTTTTTCCTCATTTGATCTTTATTGTTTCCCTTTTTGCACCTCTGCTGTGCACTGTTAACCTGTTTTGACTATTAGTTTGTTGTTGACTAAAAATAGAGGAAAACCAAGGAGTAAAACAGACCATAATTTCATTGGAAAGCTACTGGTATAGAATTTTGCAAAGCTGTGGTATGTGACTAGGCTCCTTTAAGTATGGACTTTAAAGGTATAGAGGATGATCTTTTATTTCCGGGTGGATCAAGCCCTTCTTATTGTCAATCATTCTAGCGATATGTTTACGTAAGGTCGTTCTATGTGCTCGCCGCTATCTTTTTGTGCGCATGCACACTTTCAGCCGCCTATGTGATGTGAGCTACGGTTTCAGACAGTCATTGAAGCTCACCTTTCTCAGTGCAGTTCTTTGAAAATGGCTGAGGGTTGTAAGAGAAAAAGTGTCTGAAGTGTATGAGAAGAACAGAAAGGCCTCAAAAGAGGCAGATATAACCCAGAATGCTTTGCGCAGAGAGCTCTCCTCGCAAAGCATTATGCGATTTGCTTTCGCTACCCGACAGTGGCAACTAATAACAAAGATGGCGAATGCAACGCGCGGGGCAGGAGTTACATGACCAACAGGGAGCAGAAAGCAGTTTGCTGAGTTCACATTTTAAGCAGGGTGTGCACGAAGAGAAATGGGCTTGTGCACGCACACTTTGCACGGGCATTTTCTTTAAAGCTACAGTGTGTAATAATTACAGGGATATACAGTCAGAAATTTATTATTATTATTATACATAACTATGTTATTTATCATCATCTACGAGCTCAGCCTCTTAACCTTAATATTTGCGTTGCCTTAGAATTCGTTATTTATAATTACATAGGAGCGGGTCTCGCAGCCATGGAGGCAGACATCTTTGCACTACAGCAGCGCAGAGCCAACAAACTAGAGATTGCGAGATCACCCATTACGCTCGAAAGTAACTACGGCAAGTTGAGAGAGATGAACTGAGACAGTACTGAACAATAGATGGCAGTATTAAAATTATCTATGTAAACAAACCTCATCACTTGAGAAGGTAGGTGATGCGGACGTCGTGGAAGACATTTTGTCCCGTAACGCTCGCCGTACTGTTGGGGGGGAGAAGCGCTGGGGGGGAGATGTTCATGTTGCTGCGGTCTGCAGTCTGGACGTTAGATGTCGCTGAAAATTACACACTGTAGCTTTAAAGTGGAGATTGGTAAAAAATTGTCCAAAATACCTTTAACTAGGCCACTCTATCTCTTCCTTTTTTTAAATCCTTTTATCCAGAGATGGGATGAAAAGCCTCTGGAATCATCAAGATTTTTTTACAAACATGAGACAGGCATAGGATTCTTCCAAGGATAACATTTTATGCCCCGTTTGTTACTGTTATATTATTGGCACCGACCTTAACAGAGGCAAACAAGCCCTTCCGTACTTTATATGGTGTTCACAGTTCTTATTTGGCTTCCTGGACGAGTTGCTGATGTGCAACTGAGTAATTATGATACCTGGCCACAGCTGAGAAAGTTCTGAACCTGTTCTGTTTATGGATAAAGTCTGACTGGTTCAGCAGAATACCAGCAGAATTGGCTCTGTAAACCCTGACTTTTTTTTTTGTAACCTGTCCTATTTCTGTTGGGTCATGATGTTTGCTAGTGGGGATCTTAAAGCATATGCTTGTTGTCATACAGGATCTATTAAGCTGATTTCATGATTCTACTATTGTGTCAGTAGATAGGTCAGGAACTGGATTACTGAACTGAACCAAAAACTGAAAATTCATGATTTTATTCACGTAAAGCAGGTTTTTTTAGAATGCTTTTGTTCTCTAAAAGCATTCTGTGTTCTTTAAAACTGCTTTAAAAAAAATTCTGTTTATTTTATTTTGAGATCAAAACAGTTGTTCCACTCACAGACATGTATTTTTAAAAAATGTTGATGCTCGGATAAAAGTGTGGCACCCCTCATTTAATAAAAGAAACCCTCAATGGTCACCAAAATAACTTAAATCTGATAAAAGTGTTAATACCGGTACATAAAAGTTCTATGAAAATCAACAAATAAAAGCCATACATTGCTTTTAACCAAGGGGCGTTAGAAGGTGTAATAAAATAAACACATTAAAACATCCCTGGACAATATTGATGATAAATGATGGTAAACCTAGACAAAAAAAATGAAAATAATGCAACCAAAGGGACATGCTAAATTAAGGAATATCCATTAATTAGCATCACAGATGTCTACAATCTTGTAATCAGTCAGTGGGGCAATTTATAAGGATCCAGGTAGTCACTGTGCTGTTTGGTGACATGGTGTG